ATCCTAGGCCCAAAACCGGGAAAAATAATGGGTGAACAGAGGATGAGGTGTGGTAGACAAGGCACAAAGGATGAGGTTGTGAACCGGTACCGGGTAAAAATAATGGGTGAACAGAGCCAATCCTAGGCCCAAAACCGGGAAAAACCGAAACCCAGTCTAAAACCAAAAGATACTGGACCCAGTTCTAGACCCAGCCGGACCACCAGACCAGGTCCAACCTAGGTGATAATATGATAGCATCAGCAAGGGTAAACAACAAAACATCTTACTAGGCTGCATAAAGTATGAAAAATTACACCTCAGGTTGCTTAATATGTTCTCCACAAGGCTCTTGAGTGGCATGGACGGAGTTAGGGGTGGGCCAACCTAGGTCATGGGTCCATTCTAAATTTTAAAAATGACTTAATTTTTAAGATAACAAATTTGGTGTAATTTTCTTCTAAACATATTCTTTGTATCGGCCCGGTCCGATCTTGTGTCCTGACTCTGCTCACACCCCTGTTGAGTGGTAAGTAGTGTGAAGTTTCATCAATGTGATGACTTGGACATAATACACAGGACGGCCTATCTAAGAAGGTGGTTTGAGATTAAAATATGATCTACCCCACCGTCACTCTACCAGATCAAGGTGCGAGGGCACCTAGGGCTTCAAGTTGAGTTGACGCAAGGAAAATCTTTTTTGAACTTCAAGGTCATTTGCCTTGATTTGAACGTGCGCAAATAATCTCACAACAGTTGTTTGCTAGTTAGGAAATATTATTCACTACATAAAAGCAAATAATTAATACTTCCATCTTGTACACTTCTAGTCTTCTAATAATCTAGTCATACAAACGTGGGTTATCTACTCGGAGTATTCGCAACTCAAATCCTTACCTTGCCGATTTGCAACTTAACTCGGTCCGAATTACTTGTCGAGTACTCGGCGAGTTTTGCTACTCGGTCAACATCGGAAATCGGTGAGTACTCGTTATTACTCGTTTTTTTAAAAAATTGAAGCACTACGTTTAGAAATCCACAATCAAAACCTAAATATAACGGAGTTCCAAGTCTTCGACTACAACATCGGCTCTCTTGGAGTTTCACGACATCCGCTATCCCTTCAAGTTGAGACTGTGACATCGGCTAGCAACTCTTCTTCCTCTTGTATCTTCACTTCTTCAACTCTGGTTTCTTGACTTTCTTCTTCTTCTCCCCCCCCCCCCCCCCCCCCCCCCGACCCTCTCTTAGTCGTGTATGTTCTTGCCTTCTTGGATAGTTTTGGTTCTTGTATTCGACAAGCTTTCATTCTTGGATAAGTAGTTTAGTAGACATCCTGCTTTATAGTATTCAATGCATGACATCTTGGACTAAACTGATAAATACTTTTGAATAATATTAGTCTAATAGACATCCTGCTTTATGTTGGACTAACTAGATTCTCACCCGTGCGATACTTGGGACAAAATTAAATAAATTTGTATCATATTATCATATACGTCCCACTAATATTGAGAGGGAAGGAGATGACACAATTATTTAAAAAATGAATTTATGTGGTTGATGTTAATTCATAAAGTAAGAATGATTTGGAGTGGTACAGACTTTAACAAATTTGATGCGGGACAATTTTAGTAGGATTTTACGAAAAATAAAAATGAGACAATATTCACAGGACAGAGGGAGTATTTGTTAATAATATCAGCCAATGAAAGCTTTATGTAAATAAAATGAGTAAATGCAAAGAAAAGAGAATAAGATGAGTATACTCGTAATACAGAGTACTTCGTATATAATTAAAGCTTGTAGACAACCTTTGAGGAAGATAAACTGAATAATAAACATTTTTTTAAATACATTAAGCGTGTTTTTACTTTGACTGAAATTTTCTGATTTGTGTTGGCCTGAACTGGTCTGAACTGGTAAGTAACTGATATATGTGTATTCTATAACTATCCATGTTTCCTTTATGTCTTCAATTTTGAAATTTTCTGCATGCTTAACACAACACACACACATAGTCACACACTCACTCATTTTTTTCTCTCTCAAAATCTTAGTTTAGGATTTTGTGCATCGTTCTTGCTCTGGGGTGTGGAGATGATCTCAAAAAATATTTTCTTTTAGATAAAATTGAAGCACTAAATAATATGTAGTAGATGAAAATCTCTTACACACACACATTTGTATATATTACTACGTATACATTATATATGTATAGAAATCCTAAGAATCGTTCCAGCCCTAGATACTTAAAAATGGTTTCCAGAGTTAATTTGACCTCTGTTTTTAGGAACTCCTCTAATGCAACCTCATATTCGGATTTATTTGAAATTGTTGTCATTTTTGTGCTTTAATTGATTAATTGATTTCTGGCTCAGTATAGTATATATGCATAGCATAAATCACATCCACATACTATCATCTGAAACCAATGAGATAAGCAATACAAAAATGTCATACACATAGAGATTGTGTATCTTATGCTCGTGGATAAGATCTCTGAAATTATACAGAGCATGGTTTTAAACTATAACTCTTTATAAAGCCACACTCTATCTGATTTTCAAGTAATTTTTTTTTTTATGTAACTAGCTATGGATATGAAATCTGGAATTTTAAAAAGCTTATTGATCTGGAATTTTTAAGCCACTCTGTTAAACTAATATTTTTATATAAACTGAGTAAACCGTAAATTTTGAATATGCAAGTGCCATTTGGAATCTGTTTTTTTAAAGCTTAGCCAAAACAAAACTTCTATTTATGTAGCTTCTATACATTTTTTACGAAATATTTTCTGTATAAATATTATATACGTAGTATTATTTATATGATATGTAATCATTTGAATTATTTTTGTTAAACAATCTATATACAATGTATGAAGCACACTTTCATATATACCTATATACTCCGTAAATAATTTGTGTTTACATATGTATAAACTTGTTTTCACGTGACATCGGCTAGTAACTCTTCTTTCTCTCGTATCTTCACCTCTGGTTTCTTGACTTTCTTCTTCTTCCTCCCTCTGACCCTCTCTTAGTCGTGTATGTTCTTGCCTTTGGATAGTTTTGGTTCTTGTATTCGACAAGCTTTCATTCTTGGATAAGTAGTTTAGTAGACATCCTGCTTTATAGTATTCAATGCATGACATCTTGGACTAAACTGATAAATACTTTTGAATAATATTAGTCTAATAGACATCCTGCTTTATGTTGGACTAATGCCCTCGTACTCCCTATAAATTCAATTTCAACAATAGACATTAAATTTTGATCACTTATAAAATTTAAATTTTGAAAACTTAGAATATTTATGACTTTTGCTACTCCATCATTAGGATAATAGGATTTGTATCTTTTTATTCATTTCTATGCTTTTTAAAACAATTTTAAGACTATTATATTTCTAAATATCTAGCAAGTAGCAACTATTTTTTTAAATTTAAATAATACAGGACCGAGTAATCGGTCCTACTTAGTCATGGACCAAGCCCGGTCCAGGCCCAGCCGGGTCTTTGAGTTTTGGGGGAAGGCCCGGAACTGGCCCGGTTTTCCACCGGATCCGGGCCGGTCAAGCCAGTTCAACATTAATTTTTTTTGTTTTGCTTTTCTAATTAACCCCCGACCACCCCTTCGCCCCCACCCTCCAAACACCTAGCTCAACCCAGGTAAAACAAAAAAATGAAAAAACAAAAAATTAAAAAAAATAGGCCCAAACCGGGCCCGGGCGGTTACTATTTTCAGTGACCCAAGCCTGCCCTATGTAACTCCCGGGCTGGGCCTACCCGGACCAATCTCTTACCGGGCCACCAAGCCGGGCCGATCCCAAACTATGCCGGGCCAGGCAGCCCGGAACCAGTCCATGACTAGTCCTACTCACTACTCGACTCTTGACCGAGTTACTATCGAGTAACGAGTAAATTACCTAGATACAAACCAAACCAAGCTATAGGACTGAGAAGCACTCCATTGTAAGAATGGACCGAATGGTGAGACTTGAGAGATAGACATGAACCGGTTCCAGGAATAAGCCCAGCCTCGGGGGCTAGGGCGGGGCAGTTCTAGTCCTGTGGTCCATGCCATCCTTTGAAGGCCCAGCCGGTTCGGGCCCTGTTCAGGCCTTTTTTTTTCATTTTTTGGGGGTTTCCAGACTTGGGCTAGGTGTTTTGGGAGGGTTTGGGGATGGGGGTGAGGCCGTGAGGGGGGTCGGGGTTACTTACAAAAGCAAAAAAAACATAGAACCGGCTCAAGACCGGCCCAGCCCCGACCCGGTGGAAACACGGGCCGGTTGCCCGGTTCCAAGGCTTCACCCAAAACTCGAAAACCAGGCGGGCCTAGGCTCGAACCGGGCATGGTCCGGGCCCAGTCCACGAGTAGTGAGAGACTAAAGCTCCCAACAAAAAGTCAAGAACTGCGGCACATAATCATGAGCACGGGGAATAAGCTAGGTGGTGTAGAAGACAAGGACTAATCTCTACTTATGTATAGGAAGAGCTGAGTGAACATATCAACGCATATCTGGGGCCTGGGAATTTTAGCTGTTTGAAATGCTATGAAAAGTAACAAAGGTTTTTAATTGAACACTCTCGCCAAAAATTACCTCTTCAGCCATTTCTCATAGAAAAAGATAAATCTATCAACTCAGAAAATAAACATCAGAAAATAAACATTCAAAACTAAACTCAGATCATCTCTTACCCTTAGATAATGAAGTCCATGCCTCAGTAAATCTCAACCCACCAAAAGTGGGATACACGCAGGGCACACTTGGTTCAGTACTTCAGTTTTTATAGAATAGATATCACAGCTACTTATGCCAATCCAAAACGAGGATCCAAACAGAGCAACTTTCATTTCACACTCAAGTGGTCAATAATGCTGACGTTTGTGCAGGTTGTTTAACTAAATAGATTGCTCCCAATTTCATCTTAAACCACATCTATCTCTTTACACCACAAACTTAATATCTAGAATAGGAACTAGTTGGAAACTAAACATTGGACAAATATTGATCTGGTATAACAAGACTATAAGACTTATGCATCGTAAAAGTGAAAAACTACATGAAGCAAAAAATATGAAAAAAAAAACATCATCACTTTCAGACATGCACATTAATAGATATTGAAATGTTGCTGATAAATAACGGGAAATGAGTTCAAAATTAAAACAAAAAGCTGACTCAATACTAGCAGTGAAAATGTCTGATTTCCCACAAATTAAAAAGGAACAGTATCTCCTGTGAATATCAAATCATAGTAAAACACTCGAACACAGGATTACCATAACCGGAGCTTAGAACCTGAGCTTGGTGAAGAACCAACGGTTTTTCCCACTCTTAAACCTCTCCTCAAACCGTGCCTTGGCCTCCTTGGCAGCAGTGACCTTCTTGTCCCGAGATTGGAGACAGTCTAGGGTGATGATATCCTTGAGATCCACATCGAGTGTATAACGAGTAGGCATGATGTGGTTGTAATTGACGAGCTTCACGAACACCTTAACTCGCGACTTCTTCGCCCGCTTCTTTTCAGAATCCTTGCGGATGACCTTCGACGGGTACTTGGCAATGCCCGCCACGAGGCAGTGGCCGTAGGGGCGTTCACGGCTTCCTTCATCGAAGGCGCGTATGATCACCGCCTTCCTACCGGCGTAGCGCCCCTGTAGAATGATCACCGCCTTGTTTGGCTTTAGAAACTTCACCATCGTTGCGCCTCTCCGCCGCCGCTGCTGAACCTCTCGCTCCGCCTGTCTTTTGCGCACCTATCACTCGTCTGCATAAAACCCTAGCGGGACCTATATATGTTCGTTTCATTTGTGGCAATTTTAAAACCTGATACGCTGTATGGGCTTTACTTTTAAAGTGGGCCTCAGAGCAGTAGTACTCTTAAAAACTAGGCCGACTGTTCTGCTAAAAATAGTAGGCCCAAATAATGGATCAGCAACACATGAATGATTCACATTTCACATGTAGGTTTATCAATTTAAAATATGAATACAATATGAATACGATTGTGAAGTATATAATCTAACAACATTATATTTTTGAATAGGAGTTGATATGACATCCTTAAATTGTGTCAATACATTTTTAACATAAGAACTTATACATTGTTCTTAATAAATGAGACCATAATTTTCATGTGGTTATTCTATCCTCACACCGTTAAAGTTTAAGATTTCTCTTTGGTTAAATTATTTCATTTAGCTATTTTACCTTCTCTACTATTACTTTGTCCGTTCAAATAAATGGAACATCTTAAAGTTACTAATTACTGTTAATGTGTGTGTACAAATAGTATTAACATATGTACAACTTTTTATTCATTGATAAATAACTTACTAGTTACATCTCATGTTATATTCTTTTTTATTCACTCTTCTCCTTTCAAATCATTATACCAATATATTATATTCAAGCTACAATATATAAACTGCTACATTTCACATCTCAATTTTATAGCATCACAAATACTACGTAACTATAAGTTATAAAAATAAACTTTTTTTTTAGTTTTTCTTTACTACCTAAATATTCAACTTCTTTTTTTCTATTAATGACAAATAGATCTTTTTTTCTCAATTCTATTAATTATTGAATTATGAATTTTGAGTAGTTTTACTCAGGGATTTAGGATTAGTACCATGGTGTTCTTATGATCTAGAATTTCTTTCTTTACTAGTTGATTACATGAATTCTATTTAATTTTTGTTTTAATAATTTAATTGTTATCATTTATAGTTTGGATTGGCCATTAGGACTATAATTGCACATAAAATAATTATAAGAAATCTAAATTGTTTATAACACTTTCACACACATCGTACCACACGCTAAGAGATTACCATGGTTAGAAAGCATGTACACTAGCTCATCTGACAACGATATAGATGCATGTCGCATAATAGTGGTACATACATACATTTACAAATTGTGTAATAAGTCATTTGTGTTCTTATAAGCATTTCATTTAGCCCCTCGGGCTTTTGGGTTAGCAAACAAGTCAATTTTCAAATTAACTTTTCTTTATTTAATCCACAAAACTCTTCTTGGTACGACGGTGGTTCGAGAGGAGGGCGGGATGCTACAATATGAATGAAAACTGAATCCTTCTTCTTTCTGCGTTTCAGATAGACATAGAAACATGTGGAGTCAAAAAGACCTTTTATGCCTCTACCATCTGCTACGTTGCCCAAAAGAAGGCGAATAGAAACTTCTGACCAGTCGAAACGGCTGTTACACCAAAGCAACACTCCACATCGATGGAGACAAAACACCGTGCAGCTCTAGTGCCCGGGAAAGAACCGCCATAGATAATAACAAACACAATGACAAACACAAGAGCTCCGGCAAAGGAGCACTTGGACGAGAACTGTTTTCGCCAGAATCCTTCGTCGATCCACCCCGTAGCCCGTAGGGTTTCAGTGGAGGATAATCAGGCAACTATATGACAGAAATAGATGGATGACTTGGAGAAGGCATACGAACGGTCATCGTTGACCAAAAGTGCAGGGGATACAAATCCTACGATTGGTCAGATAGAAGGCACATTCATTCTTGAACTGGCACTTTTGATGGTATGTCCCCCTCCTCAACGAATTGCTATGGCTTGGAAAATAATGTTTCGAGTTGGTATTTGGCTACCTATGATTTTTTACTGTAGTTTTATCTCAAGCTTTATATTTATTCCGTTAGACAATTTATCTAGTTTTTGGATGTGTGCTTGTGTCAGTTTTATGACGTCTAATTTTACTATGTTTGGAGGTATTGAAGTTCTAATGTCGATAATTACTTCAAAACTCTCGCATGCTCATCGATCAATTTTGAATAAACATTTCTATGTCCGATCAATTAGGAGAGAACCTTTTAGTTATTTTGAATATAATGGGATAGAAGAGTGAGATTCATGATTTATTTGTTTAAATATAAACGCTCTCCTTTAAAAAAGTATAGAATAATGGTAGCAAAAAAAACATTAGTGAGTTTCGAAATTGACCCATTGGATTTTTATGTTTAAACTTATGAATTAATTTAATAAGTAGAGTAACAAAATATATGTTACAATAAGTGAATAAAATGGACAAGGTACATTGGTTCAATAGAAGTGTGTTTGCAATTGTAATCATTATAATTATAGTCACTGGTTAAAGTGAAGAACCAATTATCTACAAGTAATAAAAAAGCGGAGCGGCTCGCACCTGGTGTTAACTAGCTTGCAAGAGTTTTTGTCGGCAATTCCGTTCGACATCGGAAGTGGGCCATTAGCAGGGGGTTGGTATACCGTGGGAGCAACCTTGGGTGAGCATGGTGCTCCTTGGCAAAATTCCTGTGTTACTGTTCACACGTGAACAATAACCTTTTGTTTTTGTTTAATTCATTGTCCCAGTAGCAAGGTGATGTAACTCGCGTGTAACGAAATGTAAGTCATGTTGATAGGATATGTAACTGCAGACAAACGGAAATGTAACTTGTCTAATACGAAGTATGACAAATATAACATTGATTTCAATGTAAACAATGAAAATAAGGAGTCTAATTGCTCAATTACTTTACGAAATAGTGGATGAGTATTATTTTTAATATTCAAGCCATAAAAAATATTTTTAAAAATTCATTTTTTTTGCCAACAAATGATTTTTTTTGCACCAAAAATGACTTTTTTGTTTCAATAGCAAGGGTCTAGTTGTGATGTAACTCGTGTTATGAAAATTTAAATCGTGTTGAAGAAAATCTAAATTAGGTGTATGCAAAATATAACTTGTTGAGACAGGTACAAATGTAAGTCGCACATAGGAAGATGTAACTCATGCAGCCTATTTGCTTACGTACTTTTTTAGGAAGCTTATTTAATTTAAGTAAATAGTGAATATGTTTTTAATATTAAGACCATAAAAAATGGTTTTAAGAAAATTCATTTTCTTTGGCACAAAAAAGATCAAATGTTTTATGGCAAAAAAAGGAAAAGATCAATTTTTTTGCAAAAAAAATGATTTGTTTTTTGTTTCATTAGAGTGAGTTTGTTTTGATGATGTAACCCGTGTTATGAAAAATGTAACTCGTCTTGATGGAAAATCTAATTTAATTGTATGCAAAATGTAACTCGTTGAGGCGAGCCCAAATGTAACTCGCTCATAGGATGATGTAAGTCATGCATAAAAAGATGTAACTCACACACTAGAGTATGTAAGTCCATATATTATCAAATGTAACTCGATCTAGAAATTAAATTGTCTATAAACATAACTCACTCATGTTGAAATCTAAACCTCGCACATGAAGATGTAATATTATATTTTATCAAATGTAGATTGAAATATATAAATTTAATGTCTTAAAAACACTAAAAACATATAAAAGAGATGAGAAATATATTATCAGAAAAAGTGTATGAATTGAATATGATAAAATATACTCCGTATTACAAAAAAGTGTATAATATAAAATATTTATTTTGAAGGAAAAAAAAAATTAATCTTTAGTTGTAATTTCTGTTGAATACAAAAAAGTTAATAAACAAAGACTAAGACGGAAAGAAAAAGTAATTAATTTATACTCAAAGGATGGAATTTGATCACAAAATTGTAACACATGCATTACAGTGTTCCTGAATTAAAAAAATCATTTGAAAAACATGATAACTATAATAATGAAAAAAATAAAAATAAAAATAAAAAACGAAATAGAAAAATGTAACGATGGTGGAGGATGCCACTTTGTGACTAAAGAAAGAGATAAATACGATAGCTTTTGATAAACGAAAAGAACGAGAGTGGAAGGACTGAAGGAGTGCGGATTTGTTACTGGAAAAGAGTGCGCGTGATCAACATGCGTTTTATCAGGTATAAAACGGCACCGTATTTGGGATGAGTACACCATTCGCATGGTGTGTCGATCCCACGGTACAATTTGCCATTAGCAGGGGCGGATCTATTCAGGCATGAGAGGGGGCAGCTGCCCCCAATAAAAGCTTACTAAACCCACATAATTTCTTGATAAATATTAAAAGTTCATGCATTTGCCCCCAACAAAAACAATTGATTGCCCCCAATAACCTCCTGCCCGCCCCAGACCGTGGTTATGCAAATATGAAATTCAGATATAACAAACGGTAGAAGTGCCAAACCCTTTAATTTGATGATTGAAGAATTGATGATGATCGAAGAGGTGGCCTAACTCTCGTGAGTGTAGGGCTGTGTAGAAGCAAACAATTCCAAACATGTTCACAATTGTGTTGTTTTAAGGCCATGACTTTATTTTTAATTTAATTGTATATAAATGTTAAATAATGTTATTAAACTTATTATAAAGTTATTAATTTATTATAGAATTATTGATTTAATTATGTAGAAGGGTCAATTAAATTAAGAGCCCGTTTGGTAATACCAAAATTAGTTGAATCGGTTAATTCTGCTGAAATTTATGAAATTCTGGCTGAAGTGGCTAAATTGACATATTTCAATGATTTATGAAAACATTATATATTTTAGTAATAATTAAATAAAGAAAAACTTATATGTATAAATAGTTAAAGTGGTCATCTACAGTAACTTCGGCCTGAAAAGTAACTCCAACCTTATTTTTTCTTATTATCACACAATTTAGTGCGAGAAATTAAAAGTTACGTGTTTGGTGAAAAAGTTGGCTTAAGCTGAAAAACAAGGTTACCAAACAGGCTTTTAATGGTTGACTTAAAGAAATAGTTATACATCCATTCAGGGGTAGAGCCAGGACAATTGGCTGGACTGGGACAATGTACAAAGAA